GCTTGGCAGACGAAAACAAGTTCAAACGGCTGATCGGTGGGACTTGAAAGTAGGCCTCTGGAGCCATGAAACGTAGAAGTATTATCCTGAGCTGTCTTTTTCAAGTTCCCTTGATAGTAGTGTTTGACGAGGCTCTACTTTTAGCTTCTTATAGTCCATCCAATGTAAAATTAATTTTTAAACTTATAAAAAAAAAAAAAAAAAATTCCGAGAATCGAACCCGGGACACCAAGAAAATGAGTGAGACGCGATGCCAATTGCTCCTCCGCTTCAACTGGGCTTTGGAGCCTCAATTTAAGGTTTGTGAACAAATTATTACCACAGTTATATAAAGTATAAAAATGTTAAAAATTGATTTTTCCTGAAGAATATTAGCATTTTTGCACTCAGCGACCCTAAAAACCCCTGAAAACTCATATTGCGAGGTTTAAACATACGTATCTGATTTAATGCCGCTTAAACCGGCTATTCGGACCATAGTGCGGCGCGGCGAGAAGGCAGCGCATTGGCGCCTTCAAACCTAACGAGGATACTTCACGCATCGCCGAATGCGTGAAGTATCCCTGTTAGGTTTGAAGGTGCCGCCGCTCCGCTTTGTGTTAGGCTCTAGTATTTAATCTCGTGGAGTCAGCGTTTTTCAACTCATGACTTTGAAATGTTTGCACACTCTGTATGGATTATTCTCATTGTCATTTATGAAATAAAATATGTAGTAAAGGAAAATATAATGTGCGTTTTGTAAATATTAAGGTGATTCCGTATAATCTTAAGGATTTACAACGAACACACGAATTTCTACACAATTTCCTATAGCCTTTTATAGCCGATGGCGAAAAAGCATCAGCCATCAGGCGATAAAGTGTAAAGCCCGGCGGTAGGAACTATAGCCCGGCTGTATAATTTTTTATCGCTTCGTGTAGCCCGGCCGTATAATTTTTTCCACTTTCTACAGCCAGCTACATGATTTTCTATCGCCTTCTTCAGTCGGCTATAAGAACTCCTATGGTATTTTGAAACGCAGCTCCTATCGCCAATTTTTACCAGGGCGTGATATTCCAATACAAGATGCCGGAGCTGAACACTCTCCCCCCTCCCCTCAGTCTTGTACTGGTACTCATCAGAGCTCAAAAATTCCTGACTGTAATTGAAATTTTGGTCTTGTTTCCCCCACAAATAGTGTGGGCTCATCACTTTACCTTACCACCAACTTAATCCTAAACTTAACGCCCTCTTTTGGCGCAAGAACAAACTAGACTCCTCAAAACTCATTCTTAAAGACTCCAGGGAAGGTTTTATGTCTTTTTAAAATCTGTTTTTTAAGCAAACCGATGAAAATCCCTCCGCTTGATATTTTTGCCTTCGTAGACTAAGGATCCTGATTTCCATTTCGCATCGACAAAACCTACAAAATCCTTTGTCATCCTTTCCTTTATTTTTAAGCGCTCAGGCGATAGGCAGCGCTTTTTGATTTCGACTTACCTCTAAGTACTAGTATACTAGTGCTAATGCGTTTAAATGGCGCACCAGCTCATCGATGTGTAGGCTTTTTTTTGGGGGGGGGGGNTTTTTTTTTTTTTTTTGGGGGGGGGGTCCATTTTTAAAATAAATAAAGCTGTGAAAACTGTATTCTATGCTTTTAACGTAATGCGCAGGTAGTTTCGATCGTTTGTCTCTAAGAAAATTTCTTAGCGGTAGAGTAATTCTTATCGAAATTGATCGTTGAACTCAAATGAAGCCTAGAAAAAAACGCGCCTGATGAGCTCAACGGTGAGCTCATTTCCGAGAAACAAAAATACGCGTTTACGGTTTCCTTGGTAACCTTTGTTTGCTATCAGCTGATGTTTTATTTCCATTTCCCAGCCAAGTTGACGGAGTTTATACGTCCTTTCTTCATTAAATACATTTACTGACACCTGAGCGCTTTTCTAATACGACAGTATTAGAACTTTCCCGCTTGTTTTAAATATAGGAGCATCCTGGCCGCTGTAGAGCCAGTACGAGCTCCGCGGGCCGATTACTTAAAGTGATAGACAAAGCTGTAGACAAAGGAGACAAAGGGGGTGTGGAGCGATCCTATTGGTGGACGCGGGTGGTTGCAATAGACTAATGGTTCTTGGACAAGGTTCAATGGAAAAATTCGATGGTTCTTGTCAATTCGGTGGTGCACCAGGCATTCGCGTATCGATTTGTTATTATTTGTGCGTTGTAATTTTCTCTCTGGTTTTCCTATGAAAATTACGAGAAGCCTCGTTAGCGGGCCGATTATAGAGATCGACGGACAAAGCGATGGATAAAGAAGGCAAAGATGCCCTAATAATGGAGTCGTGAGTTGCCGTTAGTTAGTCCGTTACTTTCCACCTTTGTACATTGCAACCACCCGCTTCCACCAATAGGATCGCTCCATTTCCCCCCTTGTCTCCTTTGCCTATCACTTTGTCTATCAATT